TCATTTAATTATTGAGCATATTTGTACACATCTATACCTACAATTATTGACTTTAAAACCCAATGTACAACCTATATACATTTTAGAGCGTATTTGTGCCCATCTACTACAAATATTGACTTTAAAACCCACTGTACAGCCTATATGCCTTTTAGAGGACGGCAAAAGGTAAACCACAATTTCTTGTACACGTTTTAGCCAATTATCAATTCAACTTTGCTACATTAATTCTTCACCGACTATCAAGATATTTTGTATTCCTTCTAAAACATATGTTTATTTAAGGTTAGAGACACTGCAAAAGAATATAGATTTCCCTTTGTAACCATAATAAAGAATTCAGAGATACAATACAGTTCGCACTTCGTCCTACATCTTCTCTGCTTAAGGGTACAAGAACTATTTAATTATATGCTTTTAAAAACCCCCCACCAAAAGAGTAAAATTACGCTGAAGCTTTTCATATTTGTTCTACAATGAAGAAAGCTTTTTATATTTATATCCAAAATAAACATTTTGGGTTGTAATAGCTGTTAGAAAACAGTGAAATAAATAACATTTTACTCATTTTAATCTCTCTACAAGTGCTCAAGTATACATTTCGAGGTATGTGTATTCTCTATTCACAAAAGCACATTTAAAGAATATTACGTTGAAACTATATAACTTGTTAGCCAGTACCATTTATTTTTTTTTAGCTTCTCAATTTGTAATTTAATATATGTGCTAAGAAATCTTTATTCAACTTATAAACAGATTTCTATGGAATATAATATTTTCTTTATTTTCTAATCTTTGCTTTCAGCCTCAACTATTCCATAACTTAGCATAATTTATTGTCAAGGATGTTCCGAATGTATGTTCCGACAAAGTTACTGCTCATGTAGACTTCAAAACAATGTCTTATTGCCAACAAAAAAACTACAGGCAAAACGAACGTCGAAAACGGCTTCGTCCTGGATTCACTTAGACGTGTAAAAACGGGGCGGTTCGAGCCGGCCCGGACAGCAAGGAGAGAAGCCCGATCTCAGACCGGGCTGAAAATTAACCGGCCCGAGGGGGCTTCCCAGGCCGGTCCCACCCAAACCGGGTCAGGAGAGGTCTGACCCGGCCCGCAGGCCCGCATGGGCCGGTCGGCACGTCGGCCCACACGTTTTTTTCCCAAAAAATAAACGGTAAAAAGAATTATAGTGAAAATCGATAAGAGTTACGTAAAAATAAATTTTACATTGATTTATTTTTCGATAAACTTTACATCAA